GGAAATAACACTATCACAAAGAGCAGATAAGAGAATAGCAGCTATGGTAACATTAGAGAATATTTCCCCTCTGAAGCCCTCTGAAGCTTGAATATAACCAACAATACAACGAGTCTTGCCTTGAACCACATTAGCTGTTGGATCAAATCTTAATAACCCCTCAGCTGTCCACTTCTGCTTAGACTTATAGTATTTGGTCCTCCACCAATCATAGGCTCAGATATTTCAGAGTTATCAGTTAGTTTCTCTGATAAAGCTGGCTAGATTTAGCTGGATTGAAGTTGTAGAAGAAGTAAATTGATAAGTATATAGCTACTTTCTGTAGCCATGTGACAAAGTCATGAGAATACTGCACATGTTGATATAACAGAGTATGAACCATGTGTACAGTGTTGGCAACTTGTCTGTTATGTGTAGCATATATATACCACTATGGTAAAATGTAGCATGAAGACATCTTCCAAAGATCAAGGTATAGGCTTATTGTTTCATTTCTACCAGTAGTCAAGCATAGGTTCACAAGTTTACCAGTTTCTAAACTGTCTGCTTGGTCAGACAGTGCAAAGCTTATTGGATTATACCTGGTGCCGGCAACCAAGCCAGAATTTGGAGAGATGACCTCTGTAGCCATGCCACAAGGTGGTTGAAAGCTTTGTTCACCCAGGCTCTGCTCATATTGGACTGGGATGTTCTTTTGTTCTAATCTGTCTGAGCATGAAGAAGACAGGACAGGGCTTTGGGAGATGGCCCCTGTAGCCATGCCACAGAGTGGCTGGAGGCATTTATGACCCAGGCTCCACTCAATCTCAACTGGGTTGCTCTGCTTGTTCAGTCTGTCTGAGCAAGACAGAGTAGGCCTTTTATAAAGGTGCCTTCAACCATTTCATTTCAGAAGTTCAGGTCAAAGTTTGTGTTAAAGGTTGATAAAGTGATTTTGTCTAAGAAATTGCCAGTAGACGCCACCCAAAGGTAGCAGCAAGCAGGGGCAAGTCAAATCTCCATGAAGACCTGGAGAAGTTATACTTGTGAAGCATGTTATAAGCAGAGATGGTGGTGGTTAAGGTGAAAGAAGTGTATGAGATGTACTTACTTCTCTCCCCAGTTGAGTCTGAGGTGGCAAATTGCGCATTTTGAGAAAGCAAGTTACCTTATTGGATAGAGGTTGGGGGTTCAATCCTGGCTGGGGGATCTGTTTTATTTCGATGATTTTTGGTTTTGAAAGCTAAGGTAAAGCAATATAATGGCAGATAGTATGACTATATATTTCCATATGATACATATGAGTGTTTTGAGATAGCAGAATAGAGTATAACAGATATTAAGTGTAGTAGCTTGCAGGATTAAACTTTATGCACAGAATCATGACTATATGCTTAATTATGAGCTGATATATCCCAATATGCACAATATAATAGTCTAATACTTGCAGGACATAGTAAAAGGGACTCCTATAATATTCATTTGAATTATGGACAAGTATTGATTTGTAGAGAGGAGTAATAGCAATGACTATATAGAACATTTTACATAGTTTCATTTGTACTAGCAATCAAATACAAGTTCACAAGTTTACAAGTAGTTAGACTGCCTGCTTTGTCAGACTGTGCAGGGCTTATAGGAGTAAAGCTGGTGTCTGCAACCATGCCAGAATTTGGAGAGATAGCCTTTGAAGCCATGCTACAAAGTGGCTGGAGTCTTTCTGGACCTGTGCTCCATTCATTTATTACCAGGCTGCTTTTAGTGGTATTTATAGTGCCTGAGCAGGGTTTCTGGAGATGGCACCTGTAGCCATGCCACAAGGTGGCTGGAAACTTTGATTATCTAGGCTCCACTTAAGTTGGACTGGGAATGCTCTTGTGGTCTAGCCTGTCTGAGCATGAAGACAGGACAGGGCTTTTGGAGATGACCCCTGTAACTATGCCACAGAGTGGCTGGAGGAAGTTATATTCCAGGCTCCACCAAATCTGAACTGGGAAGCTCTTTTGGTCTAGCCTGTCTGAGCCAGAAGATAGAAAAGAGCTTGTATAAATGGTGCCTGTTATCATTTCATTCCATGTGTTCAGTTCAAGATTTGTGCCAAAGGTGACTAAGGTGATTTTATCTAAGAAGGTGCCAATAGAAGCCACCAAAAGGTAGCAAGCAAGGTAGAAGATGAGAGGCAAGCCAAATCTCCATAAAGATTTGGAGAAGTTACACTTGTGAAGAATGTTGTAAGTGTTGAAAGTGGAATTTGCACAGGCAGGGGATTCACATATAATCAAGGATAAATCCAAGAATAATATTACATGTTCTTATATAGCTTATTTACTTTTTAATATACTCAGTCAAATACAAAGTGTGTTAAGAAGCTGAGACTGAAGGAAACACGAGTGAGAGTGAACAGGCACCAGAGCCAAGAGTGCTCTGTACATGTCATGTCTAAGACAGGCATACAATATCTAAAATAGGAATGACTACAAAAGCATGTCATGTCAGTGTCTCAGAGTAGTGCACCTCAAATACCACAACACTTCCCTTTAATAAGCTACCATGTTCACAAAGACGAGTTGCCGTGTGTGCATAGAGCAGGCAAGAGTCTTGGTGAGCATGTCAATTACATTGTCTTTAGAGGTGCAGTGAATGACAGTGATGTCATCCGTGTCAATGAGTTCCTGAATGAAATGATGCCAGATGTTGATGTGCTTAGAGCAGGCATAAAATTGGTTATCGTGGATGTAGGCAATGATGGACTGATTGTCCATGTGAAGGGTGATGAAAGAGACCGAGCAAAGGCTGAGTTCTATGAGAAGGTAGCGAAGTCAGATGGCTTCCTTGTTGACATGCACGAGTGTGATATACTTGGCCTCTATTGTCAAGAGTGTGATAGTGGCTTGCTTCTTGGAACTCCAATTAATGATGCCGCCAATGTACTTGAAAGCATAGCTAGCACTCTTTGACCCAAGTTTGAAGCTTCATATGCTAGCAGTTTGTTTCTAGTGTCATATGTGACTTAGTAGTAATGGGGCTAGCAACAACTTTAGACCTATAAAAGGCTATTAAGAGCTACCTGGCATCTTTCGACATGTTCAGGAGCTCTATACAGTGTTAGAAGGGTCAGACTGACCCCAGGTCAAAGGTGGTCAGAAATGACTGACCGGTCAGTGGGGTCAGGCACCTGGAACAGCCGACAAGCACCTATTGATGACCAGGCTGCTCGATGCCGTTAGGGGCGGCAAGAAAAGTAAATAGTAGTGGTAGCAATGTAGCCTTCTTAAGACAGCCCTATCTAATCAGTCAATGGTTATGTTGATCAAATTTGATAATATAGTAGCAATGATCTCAATACTAAGTACTTCTGACAACAAAATATATCTCGATTTTTCTCCACATTTCTGCTCTCTCTTGTGTCTGCGCGAGGCCCTTCAATAGCGACATCATGCTACAAAACAAGTGCCATTTTGGCTCTTCGTCTGAAAGCAGTGCCAAATTCACAAGTTTGTGTGTGGGCCAGTGAGCGCTCAAACTAGTGTCTATGGCTGCTGCTGCGATCGGAAGTTGCCAATGCTCTTTTTCCTTTGGCCTCCACCAGCATCGCACACAAGCAGCAGCAAATTGCTGCTGCTCTATCCAATCTTCTTTTGCACTGTCTTTACTCTGTTTCCTTGTTCACTCTCTTCTCTTTTCACCTAGTAGTCAACCTCATCCAGCTGCACAGTCCAAACCCGGCACCTGGACCTGGCCCCAACAGCGGCCTTGAACCGCAACTTGCCCAGCCAGGCAGGCAGGTTGTCGAGCTCGCTCAAGGAGGTCTCCCTCCGGTAAATCCACCTGTATGGCCACCAGCACCACTAGCCGCACCACTTTCTGTGCAACAAGTGGCTCCACCAGGTCCAAATCTTTTGCCTCTGCTAGTTGGCATTCCAGTCGAAGGTGACTCCAATCTACGTATTCCACCATATGCCCGTGCTCACATTGCTGCAGGACAATATCTCGAGGCTGACCTGCTACACTCTGACATTTGCTGTTGCCTCTTCGCATTATCACAATATGCCATCGACAAGGCACTGAGTGTCATCACTTATGCCGGCACGATCGCTCTCGCACCTTTGTCCACCACACAGAAGCCCAAAGGCATATGATGAGATATTGACCTTTCTTACAACAATCTGTGCATCCGCTGCACTGTCCTGGCATAAGCTTGGAATGACGCCAACTACTTGAACAATTACGGCAACGCTCTTTGAGGCCTGGTCACCCAAATGGGATTCTTTGTCACTTCCTCACCTTGGCGCGATGCCAAAACCATTGCAATGTGGTATATGGCGCTTGTCCAGCAGCAATTTATGGCGCGTGCATGCAACAAGGTCGCAGGGGGTCCCTTTGACCTCAGCATCATCAGCTTCAACATGCTCCGCTTGGTCAAAGATGAACTGAATGATGAGCGGATTTACAGGGATCCCACCCGGTGCGTCTGCCACTTTGTTGTGCTCTCGTCCTTTACTTACATCTTCTCTCTATCTCTCTCGCGCTGCTTATCTGCTCCTGCTCTCTTCTCTCCGCTCATGCTCCCACCACCTTGCACACGTATGTGCTCACTGCAGTCACTCTGATCTTTTCGTGCTCATGATACCTCACTGCGTTTCTGCCTTATGATTTGCACTTGCGCTCTCTGCTCTACACCTGCATCACCATGTCTGGTGCTTACCTAGAAGATTGCTCAGGAACATTACACAGGCCCATTCTCCCATTCCACTCTTGAAAGCTTAATCAGTCTTTTTCATACCTCTCCATTATCTTTAGTTCCTAAACCACACACTGTTAATGGGTATCATCTTGTTCAGAACTTCTCCTTCCCTAAACAATTCTGTGACTTTGTTTGCTCGATCAATTACACTATTGACTCTAATGACTTTTCATGCACATGGGGAACCTTTCGTGCAATGTTGCTAGTGGTCTGGAGCCTGCCATCTGGCTTCCAAGGGGCTGTCCGTAACATTGCAGAAGCCTATCACATAGTCTCCCTACATCCTTCCCAATTGCCAGGCACTGTTATACGGCTGAATGACAACAACGAGTTCATGGTCGACTCTAACATGGCCTTCAGCATGTTGCCTAGTTGTGGTCAGTTTGGATATATCACTGATGCCTCCACCGACATGTTTTGTTTTTGCGGTGTTGGCCCAGTGATGAAATGGGTGGACAACCATGCTTTTCTCTGCATACGTCGTGACTGCATCAACACCTACAACACTTTGCACCAGAAGTGGGCCACTCTTATCTCCAAGCTCAGTGGTCACCATCACAATGGAGGTTGAGTTTGGTTCAGAGGCTTCAATCCAATCTTTGACTTTCTATATGAATTTGTAGAAGATTGCAGCACTTTACTCCTTGACCTTAGCATCTCTTCTCTTCGCTCAACAGCTGAAGCAGTTTACGCTTACAATATAGCTGATGTTGATGCGATTTTGAGCCTGCTTGGCATTTCCTGGGAGCCCTCCAAAGATATCCCATTTAGCTCTGCATTTCTGTTCACTGGCTATTTCTGGGACCTTGATGCCCACACTATCTCATTCACAGATTCCAAACATGACGAGTACTCCACTGCTATCTGCAAATGGCTGTCTAATTCCACCCACTCCTTACAAAATGTCCGCCAACTCTACGGCAAGCTACTCCATGCCTGCTTCATTGTTTGTGGCGGCTGCACACATCTTACTGCACTTGAGCACATGCTCGGCATTTTCTGCAATGATAAGTTCAAGCGCTGAAAACGTTTGAGAGGCACTGACAATGATCTGCGCTGGTGGTTGCACACACTGGCCTCCTTTGCCCTCGTCTCCTCACCAGTCACGAGCTCTATTCTCTGCATAGACATACCAGCCTTCTTTAATGCCAGCTCTGGAGTCGGCATTGGCATCATCATTGGCAACCGATAGTGTGCATGGCGGCTCAAACTGGATTGGAACATAGACAGTCGTGACATTGAATGGGCTGAGGCAGTCAGCTTCGAGCTCTTGGTGCATTCCCTACTAACTGTATTTGGATTCCCCCTTCAACTTGTGTCCAGAGCAACAATGCCGGTGTGGTGGAAGGTTGGAAGAAAGGCAGTAGCTGCAACAAGGCAGTCAACAGCGTGTTTATGTGCATACTGGCCCTCAAACAAGTGTTGAGTGCCCGCATCTATGCCAAATATGTTGCTAGTGCCTCCAACCCTGCAGATGGCCCATTCCGCGGCCACTATCTCTCATACGATCTCCTCCTGCCTTATGTCTCCATCTCTTGTGAACTCAAATCATTCCTCCTTGACATCATTGCCAATTCCATTGCTATTGCCTCACTGCCACCAATCCACTTGTGTCCAAAGCTGTCGCAATCTGCATCCCGTGCACTCAAGCAATTCGATGCCAACGACTGGGCAGCTTAGTCGTTTGCCATACACTTGCACGTCACAAATCTCTGCAACTGACAGCATATCATTGGCTAGCAATGCTCCTCTATGACCATCTTGTCACACTCGCAACCATATTCTTTTCTGTCAGCCGTTATCCACCTCCCCAGTTCACACTAGCATTTCTGACCATGACCTCTTCACTTGATACCAACACACACTCCTACACGGTTGGTCAGCGTCTACCCTTGACACCTATGGTGCAGGTCTTGCATCCTTTCACGCTAAGTGTGACGAACTCGGCGTGTTTGAAGCAGACTGGATACCAGTTCCGAATGATTTGTTCATACAAATCCTTCTATCTCTCACTGGCCGGCCGTCTCATAGCACCATCAAGAATTTCCATGCTGCAGTTTGAGCATAGCATATTGTACACTGATTTCGTTGGTCAGTAGATAATGACCAGTTGCACAAGGTACTCGACACGGCACGCCATCTTGCCTCTGCCTGCCATTCAAAACGCCCTCCTTACACTATTGACAGGCTCACCCTTGCACTCGATGTTTTGGATCTGTCATGCCCCTTTGATGTGGCGGTTTACACGTGTGCTTGCACTTTCTTTTGGAGAATAGCACATACTGGCAAACTCACGGTACCATGCATGCACAGATACAACCATACACACATAGTCATCTTATTGCATGTGCATTCTAACCAAGACTGCCACGGTCACAAGGTCACCGTCCTTTGTCTTTCTTATACTAAGACTGTCTAAGACGCTGGCGAAGACATCATTTTCAGCAAGCAAACTGGTGCCACTAATCCGACCACTGCACTTTGCCGTTATATTCAATTAAATCAACTCCAGCATGGTGAACATCTCTTTGCACACACCCCTCCACCTGGCAACAGAGCCCCATTGTCACGTAGCGTTTTTCTGACCTGTATGCATTAGATCAATGGTACTGCAGGCTTTGACGCACTTTATGGCCATGTCTTCTGTATAGGTGGCACTCTTGAGTATTTGCTGCGAGGTCTTTCTCTAGAAACTGTTCAAACTCTTGGACGTTGGGCCAGTGATGCTTTTCATGTGTATCTCTGCAAACACTCACAAATTCTTGCCCCTTATGTCCAAGCAGTACCTGCTCTGTATACTGTCCTTCCATATGTGCTTCCACCAGCCCATCAGCTCCTAGTGCATCCTCCTCCTACTATGTGGGCCCGGCTTTCACCAATGCGTTGTCAGACTCCTAACATTCAGGAACTCGCTGCTCACCAGGCAGATTTTATTTGTTGTACCCGGCACTGCCGTACTGAAAGCCACCGGCTTTCTCCCATACCTTCAAACACAACTCTTGCCATCTTGTTCTCACTTGCTTTACATGTACGCCTCTCATTAATCTAGTCATATGCTGTTCAATACAGTAAGGATCAACTGAGTGCATAAAGACATAGATCCAAAGTTTGTGTGCGAGCCAGTAAGCGCCCAAACTAGCATCTATGGCTGCTGCTGCAATCAGAAGTTGCTGATGCTCTTTTTCCTTTGGCCTCCACCAGCATCGCACACAAGCAGCAGCAGATTGCTGCTGCTCTATCCAATCTTCTTTTGCACCCACTCTTCCGTAACCCACATTTTATTCCAGTCTCAGGCTCCCCCATTTTTTTCCAGCTATATCCACTCTGCGCTTCCTGTCCGCTTCACTTCTGGTACCTGTCATATAGTACCTTAATTTCTGTCTTCACCTAGCTTTATCTTTCCACCTCCCTCTGGCATAGTCTTCACAGCCACTTTGCCCTGTCTTTTGTTTATCACTACACCAACCGATGCCAATGCCATTTATTCTTTGCTCGCTCAAAGCTTTGTTGTTGGCCCCTCCCACTTCTAACAACCAGCTAGACTGGCCTGACTCTGACTCACACCCTGACTTCAATTGGTGGCCATCCGTCTACCGTTATGTCACCATCTCCAACTATCTCGAATATCGCACGGTACGCACCTTCATTTCCTGGCTTACCTTATCCCAACGACCACGTTGCCATGACATCTCCGCAGGATCCGGACCTGGCATTTATCGCATGTGTGTTGTGACCCTTCCTACTGCAGAAGATGAGGTGCTCGCCCTTTCAATGGATCCTTCTCACAGCCTTCTTCGTGAAGGCGATTTTACATCTCTTTGAATGAGTTCTTTTTTTCCCACCCTGCAATGCTGGCTCAACACAGTTAGGCAGATTGTTAGCTTCCACACTTTCTGGGAGAAGCACATTATAGTCAAGGTCCACGCCTTCTGTCTCTATTACGAGTTCACTATTTACCTCACCTTTCGCAACAGTGACATCTCACCTCCTGCTGCTATAACCTTTTCTGCATGGCATAGTCTGATTCCCCTTGCATGCCCTATATCAAGGATTCCATGGACTTCCAACAGGCTCTGCTTTCTCCAGCACCTCGCCCTCAAACTCGTCTGCCAGTCGCTGTACCCACCGCTTTTTCCATCCAAGCTCTACCACTGCCGCTCTCCCTCACTGCTCTCTTTGACATAGATGCCTTCGGCATTTAGTTCTTCCTCTTTCTCCTCCGCACCTAACCTTTAGCTCACTTGCACTTGGCATAGTATGTTCTGGGTATATTTTGCTGCTTTATAATCATTCTTTCTCACCTCTGCTGCAGGACAATTGAATTTCTCCTTTGTTTATTCACTTTCAACTGTCTGCCTTTATTTATCTTATCTTGTTTTTCCAACCAACCCTCCCTGTTTTGCCCACTTGTCTGGACTCACTGCTCACCGAACAGATTTTATTTGTTGTATTCGGCACTGCTGTACCAAAAGCTGCCAGCTTTCTCTGTACCTTCAGACACAACTCTCGCCACCTCGTTTTCAATTGCTCTGCATGTACACCTCTCATTAATCTAGTTATACACTGTTTAATACAGCAAAGATCAACTGAGTGCATAAAGACATAGACAGGAGCTTGTGTAGGACCTCATAGCTTTGATCACCAAGTTTGAACAGCTGGTCGATGATAAAGTTAACTTGACAGCCACTACCACCATCTTCAACCTTAGGCACCTCTGTTCAAAGCTAGGCCTCAGCATCGGATGTAGCAGTCATAGCTCAGAATGTCACTTCGCATTCAATGAGCACTCTCTGTTCTTATTGCAGAGACGCTAGCTGTTTACTTACCTGAATGCATTGCAGACTAGAGAAGCCTTGGAGTTTAACTGATGTGGTGGGGTGAGAAACTTAGAACAGGAGTTAAATTTGTATGATCTAGTACAAGCTTGTGAGAAATAATGTGTTTTTGCCGCCATCTTCAAAGACTGTAATATCGACAATGACTTCATAAAAGGCATGACAAATCAAGCCTGACCTTGACAATAGCCAACTGACCTATCTGACCCCTTTGACTGACCCTTGGGGTTAGACCGATCAGACCCAGAGTCAGTTCTAACACTGGCTTTATATAATATAGAATATTTTATTAAATATATGCTTTATATGGGAGATGCAATGTGATTTAACAAGTTTGGGCGCTTATTTTCGTTTTATGTCATGGAAAGGTGGAAAACATGTGTAGAAATATATCTGCTATATAAAACATATGTCAGAACTCGATATTCAGCCTGCTATTTGCAAAATACTCGCCAGAAGCCGAGTTTTTACAGATTTAGTGTGAACTTAAGCTCCATCAGCTTTATCAAGTGCCATCTAGCTGCTACCTGACTATTGTTATAGAGCAAGGCTCAACACTTCACAAGAGAGCTGGGATTATAAATAACAGCAACAAGATGGTGTGGACAATGGTCTCACAACTTCAGTATAGCTTGTGCAGTTAGTTTGATTGACCAAGTAATATTGTGTTAGTAAAGTAAGGAATACAAGTAACTATTAGAGCTTACCTAGCCTGGTTGACCAAAAGATTGAGATGGGAGCTAAGTAGCAACAGAGTCCTACTATATATACTGCTGAGACCACATACAGACCAGGCGTTATATAAGCTACAGTTTGCTAGAATAGTAAAGTGACAGTGCAGAAATCAGGGCCGATGAGTCATAATGTCTGACGTATCCAGGCTGATGAAGGTCGAAGGTTTAATGCTGATCAGACTCTGATAGAAGGAAGTCAGCATTGGTGATATGTTGTCAGACTAATATAAGTTGGATGTCCGATGCTGATCAGACTCCAACGAAGACTGCCAGGAGGCTGTGTAACAGCTTCTATGATGGCAATGTTGTGTCAGCATGCTAAGCGTGCTGTGAGGGCGTGAGAGTAAACTGGCGCTAACATGAGAGTTTAGGCACCAATGATGATAGAGGCATCATAAAAACCTAGGGAAAATCATAGAACATATAAAACAATTACAGAGCAGAGCTATGCCCACAACAGCTGTCTGGCTCACATCAATTTCGCTTTTTAGAGCCTTTCCTGGCTCAATTCCTTTCCCCCATATTTTCTCTGCCCTCAAAACATTGTAGGTTTAGTATATATACTTATGTAAAGTGTCAATGTACAGTTTAGAGCAAATTGAACTGCTGTATAATATACTATTCTATTGTTTCTATTAGAATTTAAAACATTTTTATCCTAGAAGTAGCACAAAGCTCCATAAAGAGATGCTACAGCCTTTATGATGATATAAATTTATGATATACATGAAAAGAGAGTGTATAAGACACTTTGGAAGGTCTAAAACATACTGCAATTCTCTTTGGAGCTTGCGAAGTTTAGCAAAAAAAGGTGCTCAATCACAGATTTTCTTATGCTGGGAGGGTTTATTTTGAACCTATTATCAAACTTATATACTTAGTTTTCAACTCTATACCTCAGAACCTGTCTGATCTGGCAGATTGGACTATGGGAAACAAGTGCTTTTTTAATGTTTTTGCCACAATTTGCCTTATACAGGCCTAACCACTCAGAATAAGACGAGCAAACTATTCCCAATCGATTTCTAGCGTAGGAAAACAGTAGAGTACCAATTTATAGGTCTATAGAACATGTGTTGAGGGTGTGGTGCAGTGATTAACCTGGGGATTGCCTGGAATGAGGCTCTGAGCACTTTAAAAGCATCAAAGATACACAGATGTGTGCCTGGCTTCCACAACATAGGTATGGGGTGTAATACTACCCGGGAGGGTCATGATATATTCAAACAGCATGTTTCTAGCTCTAATTGATGTGCATTACACTTTAAGCCCTGGTGTACCTGCACCTGTAGTGTTTTAAGGCCAGATTTCAATGTTCTTAACATTTGTAAGTATATCTCAGTGCCTTCTCTTTATTCGAGGCCTATATAAACTTCTACATACCTTTTCCCAACATAGAGGGAGCTGATAAAATATTTATAAGAATTTAGAGGGTGTGTAGAAGGCACAGGAGAGTGTACAAGTTGCTATGTCTTCGCATTTTGAGGGTTTTGAGCTCCTGTATACACTATTGTTTGCTCTACAATTCTCTAATTTGCTTCTCTACACTTATATAAGGTATATAAATGTATCCAGGGCCATATTAATGTCCTCCAAGTAATGTAGAAGGTGTGGAAAGACCTGTTCCTGGTGCTTTTTTGAAATCTGAACACCATTTGATGCACAGAATGTTGTGGAGGCTATCAAAGACTTTATAAATCTGTATACACACTCTCATAATTTGTTATTATCTATACTACTACTTGCCCCGAAGGTTCTGCAAGAGAAGAAGCCAGGAGAGCATATGGAATAACCTCCAAAGCTAAATTCCCATGATGGACGCTTATTTTACATCTGAAAGTGCTACCATATATATTCAAAAAAGAACCAACTCTCAGCGAGTATTTTATAAATAACAGGGTAACTATTAATTTTTGACATATATTTGGTATAGCAAATATATTTTTATATATGTTCTTCATTTTTTGACAGAAAACAAAATAAGCGCCCAAATATTTTATGTTGTGTTTTGTCTTTTATAACAGGCATATATTTAATAAGATATTCTATGTTATATAGAGCTTCTGAACATGCTAAGAAATGCTGGACAGCTCTTAATAGCCTTTTATAGACTTAAAGTTATTGCTAGCCCCATTACTACTAAGTCATATATGACACTAGAAACAAACTGCTAGTATGTGAAGCCTCAAATCTACTCCAACGCCTCTAGCTGAAGACAGAGTGTCACTTGACAAGGAGCTCAGTTCAATCAGTGTCTGAGAACTCAATCAGACTCTGAGAAGCAGAGTTGTAAGTGAGGCTGAAAGTAAGAGTGCTCTTTGTCATGGGCATAGCCTCGGCCTCCTATTATTTTTCCATTTTCTCCAACTTTCCACAATTTATTCCACGTTTGTACGACCCTGCAAATATTGTTGGTGCATTGGCACCAGTTTACAAGTCCTAGCCGTGCACTAACACCTCAGGATCACATCATTGATGGGCACACATTAGCGTATCAAACGCATCTACACTGCTGCTGCCTCATTGCCGCATCATGCTCTTGATCACTGTTGAACCTCCTATCTCTGAGTCTGATTGGCAACGGACATCTGATCTCTGTTAGTCCAACAATGTCAAATACTATAACACATCAGCCTCCATTTCTCCGCTGAGTCACTTAGATACTTGCAAACGCTGTAGCTACAGCTGCTTAGGTAATGCCTGATTTGTGCATGATCTGAACAGTATATAAGGACTCCCTCTGTCACTACCTAGCCCCCATCTCAACTTCTTAGTTATTAGGCTAGATAAGCCTTTGTTTGTATTGTATTATAGTCATTAATACAACTTGGTTATTGGGCTAGCTGAATAAGTCAGTGCAATCATTGCGAGACCTCACTCCACACCGCCTAGTAGTTAGATCCACCTAGTTATTCCTTATGTCTTGTTGACATTAGTCTGCAACATTAGATTGAGATCTTTGTGCACCCAGACTATTTCCTCATATTCAGTGCCCCATGCACAGTTCTAAAAAAGTTTATTCCCTCCGTTTAAATGCCACACAGACAAGTATTGCCTCAGCCTCAGCCACGCACTGCCCACAGCCATATTCGACCAACTAAGTCAAGAACGTGAAGCAGGCGCCCTGCATCAATACACTATTACTGAACTCAGTGCCATCATCTGGCACGTCAGCATACTTCCACCTTCTTCTACCTCGCTCCTGAGCATTGACTGGAATACCATTGAGCATGCCAAGCTTGCCACATATAAT